ATAAGAAGATTATAGAAAAAATATTATTCAAAATCTTGTCCTTTATAACATATTTAAAAATCATTAAAATCATTTAAATTTATTATATATATGTCACATAATATTTACTGGATTTCAGGAATTCTCTTTAACCCTTTTTCACATAAAATTTATTTTTGCGATTCACTTTTGCATTTAATCATTGTTTCATATAGCAATTCACGATTTATACGTAATGTATATTATATATTATATATAATATATATTATATATTATTATGTATATTATATATTATTATATATTATAATATATACATATATGTTTAATTATGACACTCATCCGACGTATCGAATTTATCTTAATTATTTAATTTCGTAGCATTGTTTTTCAATGTGCACGAATAAATGAATAATCTGTTATAACTTGTATCTCGATTCAAAAATCGTCAATGACAGATTAACAAAAGTCTTCTACTCGCAAATTTTTTTAAATTTTTTAATTTAATTTTTAATTAAATTTTTTTAATTTTGAAACATTCGAGATGTAGTACATATTTGAATATGATAATATATTAAGCAATTTTTTTCTCTCTTTCTCTTCAAATTCTAAGAATATAAAATTAAATCGTGAAAATTAATTCAGTTATTTTTCGACTTTGTTTTATAATTCGTCAATTGTAAAAAATAGAAAAAAAGTTCTCAAAGCTGTTTCTTTTAATGTGAATTATTATGATTTGATAAAAAATTGCATCAATTGTTAATGTAATTAATAAAGAAAAAAGTTTTTTTTTAATTTATTTTTTTTTTTTATGTGAAATCCTTATCAATAATTATGAAACTAATATAAATAAATATCTTTTTTTATTACAATTAATTATAAAATTAATATAAATAAATATCTTTTTTTATTACAAATACCAATTTATTGTATTTTGTTCCGTAATAATTTTCGCGAGAATTTCTAGATCTCATTGTATATATGATATATAATACATATGATATATTGCATAATTATTTCTTTTTTTAACATTTATTTGATAAGATAATTTATAATATTGAAGCAAGAAATGAAGAAAAAGAAAAGAACTATTTGATATATCTTTATTAAAACTTTCTATTTTTAATGTGATTATCGAATTTTATTTTTTATTTTTTCAAATGAATAAGATTATGCAGAATATAATATGCAATTCAAATATATATAAAAAGACATAATAACCATAGTTAGATAATTGTAAAAATATATACAGTATATATTTTTTTTTTTCATATGTTTATTCTTCTTAATAAAATTTTTTGAAAGATGTGTTTAAAATATAGAAATTTTGGTACATTTTGGTACATGTTATATAATAGCATGATTATCGCACATTATGGAACAACAAGGCAAATATACGAGATCTTGTTGTGAAAAACAAAATCTATTGGACTTTGAAAATTACTTGATTGATTTCTCATCGATATATTTTTTTTTGACATATATTATTTGGACTTGTTTATGCTCGATTGGCTTGGTTAAGCAACGCACTTCATAATGTTTTTTGTTAATAACTCGTTTACAAAATTTTTTTCAAAGAAAAATATTGCTTGCAATTTCACTTAACGGATATCCCAATATTTTTAGAACATTCTATATATGTGCATTATGGAAATCTCTTGTGCAGCATATATACAATAGAAAGAAGTTTTTGTACATATTGTTGTAGAATAAAATAGTAATATAGTAATATAACAAAGCTTATATTTAAAAACTTGTAATAAAAAAAAAATAATTGTTTCATCCTATTCCGTAAAATTATGCTCATTAAAATTATTAAGATTTACGTGAAAATATGAATTGAAAAAAAATTATAACTTTTTTCTAATTATATAAACAATGATAAATCTTATATTAAACGATAATTTTTATTTAAAAAAAAAACTTTTTTTTAAAATTTGTTTCGAATAGAGAAAATATAAATATAATTTTCTAATTAAATTAGAATAATAGACTAAACTGATTTGTTGATTCTTATAATATATTCTTATAAAAATAAAAATATTTTTAAATTTTGGTTAATTCTTTAGAAATATATGTGTGTATAATGTATTTAATTTTGTATTTTTTTTAAATTAAATTATTCTAAGTAAAGAAAAAAAGTTAAAATTTACTGAAGAATTTTTCATTGCAGAAATTTTAATAATAAAAAAACTCGAATACATTGATAATATTTTATTATAATTCATAAATCACTGTTTTGAATGTATTGTAATGACCTTATAACCTATCTCTTTAGATTAAGATGTTTTGGATTCAGAGAATATTAGTTATTCCCATTTTTAATTTTATAAAGTGGATCAAATATTCATATTACCCACTTATATTTTATCATTACATCCTAGAGATGTATCAAATATATTTACTTTTTTTCTAATCTAATCATGTTTTTTATTAATATAAGCTATTTTATTTTTATCGAAATATTGTGAGATTTCATTTTTATAATATTAGGAATTTTTCTTTGCTCATCAGTTGTATATTCTTTAGAATGTCCTTTTATTATTTACCGGAACATGAGAAATCGTAACATTAATTCTATATAAACTGTTTCAAATTGATAAATAATGAAGTCATAAACAAATCCGAATTATAGAGATAGAGATATTGAAACATAATCCAATATATTCGGTAAATATTTAAAGTCGATTTTCTTAAAATCTTATAAAAATCTTATAAAAAAAAAAAAAATTTTTAAAAAATATATTCTACTTTTGATTTATTTGTTGATTTGATTTGAATCATCCCCTTTTTGAATATTATCAGTTACTGACTCATTGCTCATTTATTCATAAGTTTATGCAGTTTATCCAGTTCTTTTCATTGAACATGTAAATATTTCTTTCGTCCATTTGTAGTTATTGAATAGTCATATTGGAAGATAGTTTTGAAGGATGAACCCTTGCAATTTGCATGGCCAAGTCGTGTCATAGTTCCACAGTGGTCTGTTGCAAGGCGCACAAGTATGACAAATGGCCATTGCTACTATATTTGTGTTTAAATTGAGGACTTGGAAAGTGGTAGGGAATTGTACTCGCTCGTAAATTACTATTAGACTATTGAAATACTCGAGCTATTGTGAAAATAAAATTCAGACTGTCTGACTGCTTGACAAGTCTTGACTTTGTCCTTAACTATGTTTCCCGAGAATATTAAAATAATATTTAATCGAAATAATTATGAATTATAATATTTCAATCTTTGTTTCTGATATTTTACGAAATAAACTGAAATATTGCAATCATAAAATTGATATATATAATAAAATTTCTTCTATTATTGTAATAAAAATAATTCTGCATATTTTTTTTTTACTGAAAACTCACTCACGCTCAATATCAAATTATCCAATATTGTTATATAACAATATCTGAAAAATTAAAGAGAACGTTTATTAAAACTGTAAAAAATATTTAAATAATTAATTTCTCGAATATAAATTATAACATGATCAATAGAATTTAAATGTAAATAAGATAGAATTTTATTTAAATAATCATTTGTTTTCTTCTTTTTTTCCCCCAAAATTAATTGTACATAAACAAAAATATTTATACACTTTTATTTTTTAATGAAACATTAATGAACAATTCTTGATTTTTATTATACACTTATTTTACACTTCAATATTGCAATTAATATAGCAATAAATATCTTTAAATGAAGCGTCATCATTATATTATCATTACCACTTCGTTATGCTTTCATTACCTCTTCATTATGCTATCATTATTACTTCGTTATGCTATCATTACCAATCGAAATACATATCTACATATGTGTCACAAAGATTTATAGCATAAAAATTTTAAAATCACTCTAGATAATAATGCTTGACTTGAAAAAAAATGTTATATAAATTAATAATTAAATACATAGTAACAGCAAAAAATCTTAAAATGAAAAAAGTATATAAGGTGTAAATTATATAATATTGCAATAAAAAAAATAATTAAATAATTGCATAAATGTTACTATTAAAATATTACTATTGATTTTAATAAAATATAATTATTGAATATTGTATATGTTATTGTATAATTTATGAATATCGAAATATTATCAAACAATAAATCGTAAAATTCAAAATATTTTAATTTTTTGATTTTTAGATTTTTAAAAAGATTTTTAGCTATTCAAAAGTAAAGGCTCAAAATTTCGAAAGAAACGTTTTAGTATTATTTCCTATAATTTTGAAAACTTCTATGTTTCGATTTGCTTGAAATTCTAAAAATAAACATCTTTTAAATAAAAACACTATATACGAAAAAAATTTTTGATCAAAAATTAAGATTTTGCGAAAAAGATTTTACTATAATTAAGTCCCTACATAATTAATAATATCAATCCCTGCATTATCGAACAGAAGTAATATTATATACAAGATATAAAAATTTTATTTTTGTATTTAATAATATAGATATAAATTTTTATTTTATATTTTTTAACTGATTTAATTTTATATATATATTTAAATTATAGTACGTTACATGGTATGAGAAATATCCTGATCTATTTTTTTTTTTTTATTCACTCAACATTTCAAAGCATGGGTTATCAAATCATACAAGATGGTAAATTTTGTTTATTTTGTCAAATATATTCCAGAATCTATTCCAATTTCATTTATAATTTTAATCCAAAATATTATGCATTTTAATCATTTTTGTAAATAACAATTTGTTTCACAAATAATATTCAAAAATACATAATTAAAAGATAGAATTTCGAAATATATAGATTATAAAATAAATGGATTTAGAAATAGATAATAACGTATGATACTATAATTCTTATTTTTGTTGTTGCTTCTTATTATTATTATATTTATTTATTATTATATTATATTTATTATTTATTTATTATTATTACTAGTATCAATCATTTGTTTAGATTAAAATCAGTATAGATATAAAGACTAAGACATCAAGTAATCGCATTAGTAATATTTTATTAATTTAAATTTTCAAATATTTATTTATTAAAAAATTGGCAGTACATGAATTATTAATTAAACTATTATTCAAATATCTTCATCAGATTGTTGTCTATGAAACACTGCAGTAATTTACTAGATTTCTTACACGAATTGGATTCAGCTGTAATTATAAAAGTACAATACAATAGATTTTTAAATAATCTTTTAAAAAAATTATTTAATTCGTTAAAAATATTATTTAATTTTTTAATTATTTAAAAATAATTAAAAAATATATAAAGAATTATATTCTATAAATAAATATTTTTTTTACTCACTGATATCTTTACAATTGTTAACTAATCGATTGACCTGTTCACTGTCTAATTTTGTTGTCCTTTCTCTGAATTTTTCTTCATTGAAAGTTGTGTCTGCGTTAACCTATTATTAAAATGAAAATGACTCTTTTTTATTATCCTTTTCTATGAATAATTATGAATTATATATACAATTTGTTTAAATAAATTCATTATACTTTATATTCATTATACTATTAATAAATTCATTTATACTTACAAATCCGACTTTTTTCAGCATGCAATCAACATAACAAGCCAATTTTTCATCATTTTTATCAAAAATACCCTTCTTAACGTCGTCTGCTTTCTCTAAAATTCGTATAAAAAAATTAGTCAGAAATTTTATTATCATTAAATTTTGTAAACTTATTACAATTTATGCAACTTACGTAGATCAATACCATTTTCTTCGGCACAAACCGATTCTATTTTACGTAGCTTAGTTATTGATTCTTCCGAAACTGCCTAAAAAAAATATATTAGAATAAGTTATGAAAACAGAATTTAGATATTAATTACTTAAAATATTTAAAAAATTATTATTTCTGTTTAATTTTATTAAATTGATTTAAATTAATTTAATAATTGTTTTTAAAATACTTTATATGTGTATATATATATATATATATATATATATATATATATATAGAGAGAGAGAGAGAGAGAGAGAGAGAGAGAGAGAGAGAAATATATTTTATATTAAGTATTTAAATTTTGAAATTTCATTCCCTATAGTTGAGAAATCTTCATTTATAATATTATACATATATGTATATGTATATATATTAATCATACAATAATGAGCTTGAAAATTATCATTCAATTCAAATTAAAAGTAATGAGATTCCCCTATCTTTTTTGCAATGATATTGAATTATTCACAAATAATGTCTTTTGAATATTTCAAAATAATTTTTCATGGAAATAAATATAAATTATTATATTTCAATCTTCGATCTATTTGAAAATTAAATTAATAAATAAAAATAATAAAATTAATATATTTATAAATGAAACGAATAAAAGGATTAAAAACAAATTCAATATAAAAATAGTATTATAAAATAAATAATTAATTAGAAATAATAGTATATTAACTTTTTCAGGTATTAAATTATTCATAAATTAAAATTATTCATAAAAAATTATATATATTATTCATAAAAAATTATTCATAAAAAAATTTATTCTATTAATTATTAATAATGAAAAAATATTTTTTCGTAAGAATATGTATCATTATAAAGAAAACATAATGTAATTTGTTTTAAAATTATATTTTATTAAAACAAATATATTTATTATTCTTTTAAAACTCATTACTATTTCACAATATACAAAATCAAACGAAAAAATTAACAATATTATATAAATAATAACAAAAAGAATATTATCAAATAAAAATTCAATATGGTAAGTTCCTATAAAAAAAAGAACAATTTATTCCAAAAATATAAATTATGAAAAATGCAAATTCATGTTTCTCTAAAAATAAATAAGAAGATAAAATTAAAATAAAGTATAAATCTAAATATTTACAGCAAATGTGGAAGAAAATAAAAATATTTGAAAATTACCAGAATACCAACGAGGCAAAAGGCAAAGATAAAAATAATCGTCTTCATTTTTTGATTTATCAATCTTGAAGACTGTATATTCTTAAAGTATGTTCACCGAGAACTGAATAAACATTGGATGTACCACATGTTTTTATAGTTGTAGGTATAATCATTATCGGTGATACCCTCATGTCATGATTTTTCCCTCCACTGGTACCAACAATGGTTTTGTATTATTCGAATGGAAGTTCATCGCCATTTCCCTTTAGGTCGACTATTAGAATGCGCATCAATTGCATAATAATATGTGAAAAATACAAAAAAACATTTATTAAATTGAGTTAATCTTTTTTTTTACATTCGAATATAAAGAATAGATGATTTAAAATAATTTTCTTCTTTTTTCTCGTTTTTTTTTTAGAAAGTTTTTTCATAAAATTTAATAACACGCATATGAAGAATATTTATACGTAAAATATCCTTATTTTATATTTTTAAAAATTTTTAAAAATTCTATTTGTATTTGAATAAGTTCATAAATGCATATTTAAAAATATGTGTTTATAAATCTTTCTAAAGAAAATAGAAACGAGAAGAAAAATTGAAAATTAAATTACAGTATTATTAATTACAATATTAAATATGGATAAACATTCTTTTTGCATTTTTCGTGGATATATCTATTATACGATTATTATTTTTATTCTAGATTTTCAAAAATCTAAAAAAATATTAAAATTTGAATTTCTATTTTAATATACGATCGTTCATTAAACATTTAAAAGATTCCATTTTATCTATTTTTGAAAAGAGATTTTCGTTCTTACAAAAAAATATTTAAAGTATAGTATGCGAGCTGCAAAATTTTTTTAAATTTATAATTTCATTATAAATGAATATATAGTATAAGATGTAATAAATAAAGTATAAATTTACCATTGTAACCCCATTGTACCATTGTACCCAACGTAAGTACAAAAATACAAAAGTACAAAAATAAGTATAATAATTTCCATTTTTCTTTTAGATATGATTTCAAAAAAAACAAGATTTGAATGTTCTTAAAGTAAATCAAACGAGAACTAAATACATCGAATTAAACGTGTTTTTATAATGTTATAATACAATATCTATATTGTATTGATCTTATTTGATGGAAATAAATAGAATTTTTTTTTTTTATAAGTAAAAATTCACTTTTCAAGAATCAGAATACACGTCAGATCAGATAATATATCAATTATATAACAATATATCTGATGAATAAAAACGAACATTCATTAAAATCTATAAAAAATATTCAAATAATTGATTTGTTTTTTCTTTTGAATGCAAACAATGAAATGATAAATTGAATAAATTGTTTGCTTCTCTTTTTCTTTCTCATTCTTTTTTTTTAAAATTAATTTTATATAAATAACCCTTAAATGTATTTAAATTTTGTTATTTTTTATAAAATATTAAATATTATGAATAATTATTTATAAAAGTTTGTGATAAGAATATAATAAATTATACATGTATAATAAATTATACATACACAACAATTTTCTTTTTCACCTATTTCTTTTTTTCTTTTTCAAATATGATTTTAAGAAATGGGTATAAGTAATCAATTGAAAATCGAAATTTAAGAAGGAAATATTAAAATTTTAGCTTCGAATATTTTTAATATTAAATATAATAAATTTTTATAGAATGCCCAATAATTTATATATTTAATAATATATTATTAATAAATCTTAATATGCTTAAATTTTAACAATTATCTTTTCTTTGTAAAATTGTAACATTTCTTACGAATAAAGAGAAAAATAATGCATAACAAAAATTATATAATAAAATTATTGAAGTATAAATTATATATTTTGTATATTGATTTATCAAAATATAACATATTTTGTTAATAAAATAATAATTTTGGATTTTGGATTTTTTGGATTAATAAAATAATAATTTTGGATTGCTATACATATCTAAACCCTTTAATCTTCAATTTTTCTGATGTAAATTTAAATTAGGTTAAAGATATACTTTGTAACTTCTAAAGTTAAATATTAAAGTTAAATATTTGATGTCATTAACTTCTTTTCTATGTTACATTAATAGAAGAAATGTAATAATATCTATCCAAAACGAATTTGATCATTTTGCAGATCTGAAGGATTGGAATTAAGATTATTAATCAATAAGTAAATCCATAAATAGATTTTAAATTGGTTTGTATTATTCCTTGCTATTATATATAAAAAAAAAATAGTTGAATGGCGATTGCATGCCATTATCTTAATAAATTTGTACTTTTATTTGTTATTGTACATATAAAAGTAACAATCATTTTATATAAATATCTCGAAGACTAGAATTAAGAAAGAATTATATGTATAGAAAAAAGTTGAATTCCATCTTAATCATTGATACAAACGAGTAAAGGATTTCAAGGATTGAGAAATTATGTTATAAGCATACAATGACTGTATTCAGGATTTCCACAAATTTATACCTTTCGAGATATTAAAATTATTGGTACTATTATTATTATTGAATTTTGCTTATATATATCCAAATGTACGCTTATTTATTGTTTTTTACACATTGTGATCAATTTAAAATAACTTATTGTTACTATTTATTCATTTTCTTTTGGATTTCTTATCTTTATCCAAGTTTATTATGGATAAATATTAAATGTTCAATTTATACATTTGCTAATCGTGATATATTTGTCATAACATTTCATGACTTCATAAGCTATGATCCATGGAATAAATATTACAATATAAATTATTTTGTATCGCATCAATTTCCTTTTATTTATAATATAAAAATTTATACAATAATCGGTAATGATACCAAATGAAACCTTTCTTTTTTTAACAAGTATTTAATATATCGTAGTTTAATTAATTAATTTATAATAAATGAATTAATCAATTTTATAATTTTTTAAACATTTATTTTTAAGAAAAATATTAAACTATAAATAAAAATATTATTACTATAAATTCACTCAATGTATTATATCAAAAATTTTTACTTTATTTTTTCTTTATTAATTTTTAACCTAATTCAATTTAAGAAAAGTGATCTATTTTTTGTATTGATGAAATTATCCTATATTTTTTTTTTTCTATATTTAAATATTCAAACATTAATTTTTTAATATATCATATGAGTATTTATTTTTCAAAATCACATTCGGAATTTTAATCAATGTAAAAATTTTATCATATAAATACTTTGAGAACATTTTCAATTAGCATAACTTGTTTTAAAAATTTTTTATCAAAGTAATTTAAATTTAAATCACTTTTGCAATTATTTAGATTGTTGTTTATATATTCTGTATAATAAATTTCAAAATAGCTGGTATCAATAACTATAATTTATTTTATATATTTATATATTTATATATAAAACAAAAAATATAAATAGCATTTTTCGAATCATTTTTTATTCAAAATGTATTTTATTGTTATTAAACAAAATTTTAAAAATTGAGAAAATATGAAGAATAATTATTTCAATTTTTATATTGAAACCTTTGGTTAGAATTCACGTTGAAATACTTCTTCTTTGATAAAATGAAAAGGAGATAGGAATATGAAAATAAAGAGATCGTAGCAGAATTAGAAACGTTATCAAACCAACGGTATGAATAAATAGACTGAATCATTCTGAACAAGATAATACACAATGAAAACAATCGAATCGAACGCTTTATGATTTTATAAAACAACTCAAGTAAATTCTTGTCGGAATATAAAAATAAAGAGATCGTAATAGAATTAGAAATGTTATCAAACCATTGGTATGAATAATAAATTGAATCATTCTGAACAAGATAAACACATAATGAAAATTATCGAACGCTTTATGATTTTCTAAAGCAAATTCTTATCGGAAAGCCATATTTATTATATAACAACTAATACATATAATTATATAACTAATATATATATATATAAGAGATATATAATAAACAACTATATATAATCGAATATTTCTTATCGATAAGCGGAATTAAATCTGTGACAAAGTTTAAATAAAACACTATGCACTAGATAACACTGGAAATTATTTTTTTTTTCTTATTTTAGAATCTTACTTTATATAAGTTTATAATAAAAATAAGTAAAATAAGCTTGGTAAAATAAGCTTGAGATAATTCTTCAAGGGTCAAGTACTGCACAAGCAGAACGATAAATATAATGATATATAATGTGTATAAATATATAAATGTAATGACATATGATGTATAATATAAACATAATAATAAAACATAATAATTCTTTCTCTTGGAAACGAGTCGAAAATGATTAAAATTTATTTTACTATACTTCTTTACTATATTCGAATTATTAATTAATTATATCCATACAATTATAAATTAATATAACTTCGTTATCAAAAAAATTTTTAAATGTAACAATAGTAAAAATAAATTTTTTTATGGAAAATAAAATAATTACAAAAAATAATAACCATAATTCATATTTATGAAAAATAAAAAATGATATTGTTCAACGATAGAAATATCAATCATTTAATATTTTAATATTTGGAAATATACAGATTTTTAATTGAAATATAATTTTATTCATAATTTGAAGATTATACAATTTCTATATTTTTTATAAGATTATGGTATCATCATGATTGAATAAAAACTAAAGAAATAATGAATAATTAATCCACAATAATTAATCCAAACATATTTCAAATAAGTAATAAATATAGCTATAACATGTTGCATTAACAGTTCATTTCTGAATTAGATGATAGAATTTAAAAGCAAAATTGAAATAAGAATCTATAAAAAAATTTTAATAATTCAAAAATTTAAAGAATAATAAAAAAATTTTTTTATTAAAAAAATTGTAACAATAAAATTATAACCATTATTCTCGAAAAATAATATTATTTTTATTTTTTCATCAAATGAATAAATTAAAATGTAAAAGAAAATAACTAAAGAGACAAATAAGAAAATAATAAGACAAACAAATATATAAGTAAATGTACATAGAATATTTAAAGTTTATTTTTTTTTTTTTTATAATAAG